CTGTGTGTGTGTGTCCTGTGTGTGTGTGTCCTGTGTGTGTGTCCTGTGTGTGTGTGTCCTGTGTGTGTGTCCGTGTGTGTGTGTCCTGTGTGTGTGTGTCCTGTGTGTGTGTCCTGTGTGTGTGTGTCCTGTGTGTGTGTGTCCTGTGTGTGTGTGTCCTGTGTGTGTGTGTCCGTGTGTGTGTGTCCTGTGTGTGTGTGTCCTGTGTGTGTGTGTCCTGTGTGTGTGTGTCCTGTGTGTGTGTCCGTGTGTGGTGTCCTGTGTGTGTGTCCTGTGTGTGTTGTGTCCTGTGTGTGTGTGTCCTGTGTGTGTGTGTCCTGTGTGTGTGTGTCCGTGTGTGCGGCGCTACGAATCCCGGCGACACGGAGTTCTATTCCCGCTCAGGGCCACCCGCCCCCTCGTGTGCCACCGGGCGGGCCTTCGTAGGTGCTACTCGCTAACAGCACTTGCCCCTAGAGTCTGTCAAGGCTACATGGGGGGGGGGGGGGTTATTTGTCTCTGTGTATCTGTGTTTGAAGCCAGCAGCAGCAGCAGCAACAGTGGCAACGCCGAGCGCCGTGGACAGCCATTCGTGAGTGTACAACAATGAATATCGCTCAAGCGAGGCTGACTTTACGCACAAAAAATTAACCCGTAAAAACAAAGTTTTTCACTATACATCCTTAATATGCGTGGCGGCTAGAGTCCTCTCGTCCTCTGGCTTGAGATGGCTGCCACCTATGGTCAGATGATTGCCTGCCACCATTAAGCAATTGGTAATTAAACGTAATTTATTTTTTCCTAAAAAGTGTAAAATTTTTGAAAACAATTTTCACGAACATTAATTGTCACGCACAACGAGTCTGTGTGCAAAATATCAGCTCGATTGGATCACGGGAAGTGGGTTAAAAAACGACCGAAAGATTTGCACGGTCGTAAGCGCGCAAGCAAGTGAACTTAATATAAAGGATTTAAAAAACAAAATCAAACGTCCTCCCGTGTAGCCTCTAACAGACGGGTGGGGGTGGTGCAAGTTCTGTCCAGCGAGTAGCGGACCTATGAAGGCCGAAACGGCATTACGAAGTGGGTGGTGGTGGTGGCACGCTACCAGACCCGGCCGCCTTTGTCTCCCCAGTGCTGCTCATGTCTCGAGTCGATCAATAGGTTCGATTATATTCGTCACTTGTATTATTGGCCGTGAGCGGGAACGGAACTCGAGTCCACAGGGTTCGTTGCGCGGTGCCGTGCTAACCAATGCGCCACCGCTCCCCTCATCATAGGACCGTTTCAGATAATCGCCGCCGATGTTGGCCGTGAACGGGCATCCAACTCGGGTCGCCGGGTTCGTAGCGCAGCGCGCGAACCGCTACACTACCGCTCCCCACTACACACACACGCGTACACACGCACACACAAAGATCAACAAAGATCCCCCGTAAAGCCTTAACAGACTGTAGGGGCAAGTGCTGTTAGCGAGCACCTATGAAAGCCGGAACGGTACACGAGGGGGTGGGTGGCCAGCACCACGCCCGACCGCCTTTGTCTCCCCAGTGGCGATGTTTACACATCGCACCAGGTACTCATTTGAGGCTGAGTCGACCTAGGGGAGACCCAGGACCGGTTCAGATAATCGTCACTGGTGTTGGCCGTGAACGGGAATCGAACCCGTGTCGCCGGGTTCGTAGCGCAGCGCGCGAACCGCTACACTACCGCTCCCCACTACACACACACACACGTATACACGCACACACACACGCACACACACACACACGCACGTTGTTGCACGGGCACACGCGCGCCTCTCCAACACGCACGCGCGCGCGCGCGAGTCATTAATAACGTCTAGCGGCGGGACTCTTGCCTGGCCCTGCCTCTGTTGCTGCTGCTGCTGCTGCCGCCGATTCTGCTGCTGCTGCTGAACCGAGCCGGGAGGCGTTGGCGGGACCCCCCCCCCCCACCACCACCACTCCACCCCCCGCTCTTTGTGAAGAGAGGCAGTGATTAACGAGCGGGGTGGCTCCCATACCGGGTTCAAGTAAAGTTCACCCCGCCGGCTTTTGTTGAGGACCCCTTCGCTCGAAAACAGGGGGATTATACTCATTAGATATATATATATGTGTGTGTGCGTGTTAAGATCTCACCGTGTAGCCTTAACAGGCTGTAGGGGCAAGTGCTGTTTGCGAGCACCTATGAAGGCCGGAACGGCGCACGAGGGAGTGGGTGGCCAGCACCGCACACACCCGCCTTCGTCTCCCTCGTGGCGATGTTTTTACGCACCGTGCCAGGTATTCCTTTGAGGCTAAGTCGACCTAGGGGAGGCCCAGGACCGGTTCAGATAATCGTCACTGATGTTGGCCGTGAGCGGGAATCGAACTCGGGTCGCCAGGTTCGTAGCGCAGCGTAGCGCTAACCGCTACACTACCGTTGCAACTTTTATATTATATGTCATATATTATATATAATATATTACATATAATATATATAATATATATACGCGCACACACGCGCGATATATTTTGCGCCCGAGTGATTGATGTCCACGAGCAAGCAGGTGAAGTGTGATCGTCAATGATAACGATCACACTTCACAATCGCCGACGTTTCGCACCCTCCGCCAGAACATGCACAGGAGACGGCGCGGTGACCTGCACGGTTCGCTTGGCTCTTGACAGTCTCCCACATAATCATCGATTTGGAATAACCCCACGAAAGTATTACGGAGCCCGGAGTTTGCTGATAATGATTTCATCCATCGGGCTAGAATTTGTATAGAGTTGTAAGTCTCGCGCTCACTACTTCCGAAGATAACGATCAATGTCATCACTTATCATTATCATCGTCACGATCCACGGGCAGATAGCCAATAAGGCGTCCACTCCTCATTTGTTTCCACGTTTCCGTCTGCTGCGAATGTGCTCACCGTGGTGGCCACATTTTCTGGCACCAATCTCTTCGTGTCGTCGCGAAGCCGTTCTCTGAAGTCTTCCCCTCTTCCCGGTTCCCTGCGTTGTTCTGAACAACGCACTGTTCATGTTCAAGTTGTTGTCCATCCTACATGTGTGTCCAGAGAGTTCCAGTTAACTTCCCATCACGGCCTGCGTCATTAGGATGTCTTCTTCGATGTTCTACGTTGGTCACTCTTCGGGCCCAGCTTAGATGCAGTATCCTTCTGCAACAAAACATTTAGTGTGAGAATATCTGCTTATCTCTTGTCAGTCTTCAGACCACATCATTCGTCGGCACGTGGAGTGCGTGACGCTAAAGGTTGCCGGTATAATAAGTAATGTGTCTAATCACGTTTGCTTCTACACGTTTCGCATGCAATGCAGTTGTTATTGCTGGATGAATGCAGGAGAGAACGGTGGCGCAGTGGTTCACGCACTGTGCTAGCAGCCCAACGACCTGACTTCGATTCTTCGCCCACGGCTGTTGTCAGTGGCGAGAGTGGGATCCGAACCGGTAGTGCGGTTCGGAAATCACTCGGTGGCATTTGGACACAACAACAACAACAACAACAAAAACAACACAAATTTAAGTTATATTTGTGATTGATAATTAGTTTAATTTCCGCTTAGATGGTGTGTATAGGTGTAATGTCAATGTTTGAAAACCAATACCCCTCCACCAACCGACAGAGGCAATCACGTGAAGGTGTCACGTGGGGAAATATGCCAGTTGATTGATTTCGTAAAAATGAATTTCCATTATATACCGACACGGATCTAACCCCAAATAGAAACTGATTATGAATCATCATAACATTGGTTGCGAAAGTCCACGTAGAATATTGTACAATTGTATAAACACGTGTTATTGAATACAAAAACCCTATCCTGTATGCGCGTCGCGTCTTTGTTCGTAGTAATTAAAAGAATGCGATTTGTAACGAGCACAGTATTTTACGGACATGATTAACGACGAGTCTGTAATTCGCCAAGCCAAGATCAGTGTCGCCGCTCGGAATCCAGGCGAGAGACAAGTGAAGCCTCTCATGAAGGATGTGAGGACTTTAAAAAAAATTAACCCGTAAAAACAAAGTTTTTCACTATAAATCCTTTATATGCGTGGCGGCTAGAGTCCTCTCGTCATCTGGCTTGAGATGGCTGCCACCTATGGGTCAGATGATTGCCTGCCACCATTAAGCAATTGGTAATTAAATATAAAAAAAATCCTAAAAAGTGTAAAATTTTGGAAAAACATTTTTCACGAAAATACATTGTCACGCACAACGAGTCTGTGTGCAAAATGTCAGCTCGTTTGGATCCCGGGAAGTGGGTTAAAAAAACGACCGAAAGATTTGCACGGTCGTAAGCGCGCAAGCAAGCAAGCAAGTGAACTTAATATAAAGGATTTAAAAAGAAGCGGGCCCTTTGAAACGGAGCTGACCCCTTGACAAGCCACTTCGTTGAGCTACCATTTGTGGCCAGGTCGCTTCTAGACAATAAGCTAATAGCTCAAGTGGGCTTTACCTGCTAAGATTGTTTTTGTGATTGGTTTACCATTCCAATACTTTGCACTCGTATCGTATATTTGTGTTGATTGTTGTTGTAACATTCTGACCAGCCCCTACTGCACATCTGTGAACACGAGCTTTATGGCTCATCGGATTCCTCCAGTACCAATAAACATTCTCAATCTGATTCTGAAGTGTCTCTGTAAACGTCGTTGTCGATTGAACGCTGCTGCTGTGAACGTGGAGTGGAGATGATGGTGATGATGATGGTGATGATGATGATGGAGATGATGATGGTGATGGTGATGATGATGGTGGCGGCCGAGTTCCAGACGGCGCAGGCTGAAGAAACGACGCGCGGCGATGCCGACGATCGTGGTCCGTGGTGGCGAGAGGAGATGGTTGTGAATTTAGGCCGATAAAGACGCGCGTGCAGTAGTTGCAAACCGTGTTGCAAAATAAAAATGTTTAATCCGGTGGGTAATTGCGTGATTAATCTGCGCGCAGCGCTGGTGAGTTTTAATTCGAGAACCCATCACGTGGTCCCCGGGCGGCGCGTGTTTCCCAGGTAAAGCGTGAAATTGCCTGGGAACGAAAAGTGACCTTCACGGATTCTGCCAACGGCACTTAGCAAAGACTCACGTTTGCAGAGAGAGATTCATCGCATGCCAGCGCACACGCAAAGATCCCACGGATAGCCTGAACCGACTGTTCGGGAACAGCGATTTTCCCGAGCTGGACCGAGATGAAGGACGACGTGGCACGCGAGGAAGGGGGTGAGTGGAAAACTCAATGCCCGGCCGCCTTTGTTTCCCCACTGCTGATGTTTTAGACACACCGCACCGGGTTGCTAATTTGAGGCTGAGTCGACCCAGGGGAGATCCGGGACCGGTTCAGATAATCGTCAGTGGTGGTAGGTGGCCGCGAGCGGGAATCGAACTCGGGTCGGCGGGTTCGTAGCGCAGCGCGCTCACCGCTGTGCCACGGTGCGAAATAATTTCGACGTTTTTGATCGTATTGTGTGTTTCAAAATGCAGCACTTTCTTAAAATATACATACCTAGGCCAAACAATCAATAACGTTTCTAACCTGCACATGTATACATTATCGATCCGGTTGTTAAACCCCTGAACAGTTTCAATGCGAATTGTGCTGCTTGTCGCTGGCCGCTGAGCGTCACGAGCCATTGAGCCTTGGCTGAGCAACGGTGGTAGAGAGGCAGAATAATTATCCAGAGAATTATTTTATCATGTTTTATTTTTATTATGTTATTACTTCCCTTCTACGTGACTTTACCGAAAGAACCAATAAGATGATCCAAGTATATATCTAGAGCACATTCTTATCTCTTATTGTAACTCGCTGACCCGCCCACAGAGCTCATCGGATTCCTCCCGCAGTCTAAATTAAGATTCGGATTCTGTTTGTTTGTTTGTGCGGTCGTGGGAGGGAGGGAGGGGGGGTCCGTGAGCTCGAGACGCGAGTGGAGCCGCAAGGCGGCGCTACGGAGCGCAAACCTCTCGGAGAAAAATCAGCGGTGTCAGCCAATCAGCACCAACCTCACCACCCTCACCACCCTCACCACCCTCACCACCACCCTCACCACCACCGCCACCACCAGGGTGACGTGAAGCGGAGGCCGTAGTGCGGCTACCCGTGCCCGTCGCTGCCCCCCTTAATCAAACCTGCAGCGCCGTTGGGGGCAGCAGCGAGGGTTGCTAGATCACCGCACACACCGATGTTGTTGGGGAACTCCCTTCCGCTGCGTCGCCACGAGATGGCGGTACAGCAAGTGGACTAATCGCCGTCCGTTTCCGTCTGTACGGGGATGGATTGGTGCTGTTGTTTGTTGTTGTTGTTTGTTGTTGTTTGTTGTTGTTGTGGGGTTGTCTCCGGGTGCTTCGACTTCCTCCTCCGCGCGCGTGAATAATAAACACAGCTCGTCATCATTAATCGCCTGAAAACATCTCAAACATTTAAAACTGCAATCTAGGAGTTCATGACCTCTCCCGGGTCGATAAAATAAAATAAATAATACTTCCTGGGGGAGTTAACAGAGGCTATCATGAGGACGGACTCGCCCCCGACATAGGAATGAGGAGTTTCCTCCACTGGATTATTTGAGCAGGACATCACTTCGACACGTACACCAACAACAACAACAATGAATACACGTGGAGCGTCTGTAAATATGACAAAGATCCCCCGTATAGTCTTAGCAGACTGTTGGGGCAAGTGCTGTTAGCGAGTAGCACCTACGAAGGCCGGCACGGCACACGAGATGGTGAGTGGCGAGCACCACGCCCGGCCGCCTTTATCTCCCTCGTGGCGATGTTTACATACCACACCAGGTACTGATTTGAGACTGAGTCGACCTAGGGGAGGCCCAGGACCGGTTCAGATATTCGTCACTGGTGTTGGCCGTGAGCGGGAATCGAAATCTGGTCGTCGGGATGGTAGCGCAGCGCGCTACCCGCTACACTACCGCTCCACAGGCACAACAACAACAACAACAGCCGTGGTGACGTCACCACGGCGCTTGTGCCAGGCTAGGTGCACGTCGAGGCCACGCGAAGTGTCGAAGACTCGCTGGCAGGAGGTCACGGGACAGACCCAGGTGGCATGGTTTGACTGACTGAGTCGACTGGCAGATCACAGGCGCACACACAAGACGAAGATCGACCGTATAGCCTCAACAGACACACACACGTACTTTTATATGCACCCATACATATGAACACGTGTGTGTGTGGGGGGGAGCGGTAGCGTCGTGGTTAGCGCGCTGGGCTATGAAACCGGCGACCCGAGTTCGATTGCCGTTCACGGCCAACACTATAAACTATTATTTTAACCGGCCCTGGGCCTCTCCTAGGTCGACTCAGCCTCAAATGAGTACCTGGTGCGGTGTGTAAACATCGCCACTGGGGAGACAAAGGCGGCCGGGCGTGATGCTGGCCACCCACCCCCTCGTGTGCCGTGCCGGCCCTCATAGGTGCTCGCTAACAGCACTTGCCCCCACAGTCTGTTCAGGCTATACGGGTGATGTTTGGCTTTGTCTTTGTGTGAATCGCCTTGCGCCGGGGTCGGCATTTCGTTTTTCGAATTCGGTCAAATAAAATAAACAACCCCTCAATATTTCAAGAGTAGCAATGCAATGCGTCGAGGAGGAGGAGGAGTGAAATCCTCGTCAAATGATGGGAAGCCGAGTAATGGAGAGGCCCAGCTCGCTTACTCCCTGCCCCCCGCGCATCCACCGCACCTCTCACCGCCCCCCCCCCCCCCCCCCACATTCATCACCGCCACCTCTCGCACCTTCTCACAACGCATTAGCAGGGTGGGGGGGAGGGTGGGGGGGTGAGAGGGGGGCACTTAGAGCCCCCCTCCCTCCCACCCCACCACTGTGGACGAGGCTTCACTCGTGAACATCTCGGTCACCACGTGATTTCATCATTCCGCCGATTTGCGTCCACGCCTCGCCGTTAGGAGGCCCATCGCTTCCTCTTCTCTCGTCGTCGTCCGGATTGCCAGGTCGACAGCCGATTTGTTTTATTCTCAGCCCCAAGGCCCGCTACTCGTTAACTTCACCACCGCGTCTCCCTCCCCCTCCCCTCCTCGTTGTTGCACAGTCGAGAAACTCTCTTACGAGGGTCATGGTCGTTACCACCACTCACCACAGCAGGTGAAGTGCCCTCGGTCTCCCCTCCCACCCCCCAAAACCGTCACTCGCCCACCTCCGATCTCACCTCAAATGCGCGTCTCGGTGACCTATCCTCGCTTCTCTAACCCTGCACACGTCTCGAACCTAAACCCTTCGCAACCGAACCATGATGAACCTCCACCTCCTCCTCCTCCTCGTCTTTACATCGACAACTGCCATTGCTGTGGTCGTGTGCGGATGGAACTCAGGAGAGAGCGTGGCAATGGCTCTGACCGGTCACAGGCCCCCTTTTACCGCGTGTCATTTCCGCTTTTCTTATTAGAACAACTACAAAAACAAGAAAAACAACAACCAAAAATGACCGATCCAACGTCGGGATTGGGACATTCATTTTTTATCGAAGTGGGAGAGGAGAGCATGAGGGGGGCGGGGGGGTCCGGAGAAAGCCCACCGGTAAATACGGAAGAGCGTCCAGGGATCAGCGCGATCCGCTGCACAACCCGCTTGCTCTACTGCCGCCGTTTTGACCACCGTCACGCCAACTCCGATCATCCTGGCAGCAGCAGCAGCAGCAGCAGCAGCAGCAGCAGCAGCAGCAGCAGCAGCAGCAGCAGCAGCAGCAGCAGCAGCAGCAGCAGCAGCAGCAGCAGCAGCAGCAGCAGCAGCAGCAGCAGCAGCAGCAGCGGTCTTTGGGCTGGCCACCGGACAAAGGCGGTCACTCGCATCGCGTGGCGCTTTCAAATGCGCTTCTGCGGCCGTCTGGAACGCTCTGTACGATAATCGGAAGCCACTGAGAGCGTTGCACTTTTAAATCATCGATATTTTGAACTCACTTTTTTAGAAATTGCTCTTTGTGTTTAGTGTTTATTCTTCTCCCGCACCATTCGACCATCACGGATGGCTACGTACGGTGCGAAAGAAGTTCAACATACAGAGATTGACTTTCATAAATGCTGTGTGGTCTACTAATCATACAATTTCCTGCAAATAGTGGGGGGACAAAGCGAGAACAACACATGTATCAACAGCACTGCCCTACAAAGGACATACACAACAGCCCAAAAGTCAGGACACATGGCGCTATTGTATTTATTTTAACAAATGTTCACACTGTGGAACCTTTGAACATTTATCAGTTATGTGTCGTTGTCTCAATTCAATCAAGGCTCTTGTCGGTCAAGTTTTGTAAACGACGGAGTTGAGGTGACTCCCACGGGCAGAAGATAAATATTTATATTAATTATGATAATGGTTAAAATATTAACTTACAGAGAAATGTTTTAGTATATATGAGTGTTAGAAAATAATGAAATAACCCTACGCGTCCTGAATTTTGGGCCACTCCGCTTATAATCGGCACAAAAAGAGCTTCATAGCTCATCGGATTCCTCTAGTCTGAAACAAGATTCTGAGATTCTGATCAAGATTCAGAAGAGGCATTGTTTCAGGCAACCCCCCCCCCCCCAATCATCAATTTGTGAAATCACCCTGGGACTCGGCAATGATGCAAAGCGAGGTGAGTCTCCCGTCATTAATGTGACGAGCAGTTCACAAGTAAATACTACGAGACATTAAATACATATATATAGTCAGTTTAACACGCAGACTTTCACGACCAATATTATTCATGATAGAGGTTGTTGGGGTGAGATCGCGTAAGTGTAGATGTGTGGAAACCCTCCACCACCCGACACGGCCAATCAGTAAGGGATTTGTCAGGTAAACAAAACGCCAAATAGTTACTAGTGTAGTGTAGTGTGTAGTGTATAGTGTAGTGTGTAGTGTAGTGTATAGTGTAGTGTATAGAGTAGTGTGTAGTGTATAGTGTAGTGTATAGTGTAGTGTGTAGTGTATAGTGTAGTGTAGTGTGTAGTGTAGTGTGCAGTGTATAGTGTATAGTGTAGTGTGTAGTGTATAGTGTACTGTATAGTGTAGTGTGTAGTGTAGTGTATTATGTAGTGTATAGTGTAGTGTTGAGTGTAGTGTGGAGTGTAGTGTATAGTGTAGTGTGTAGTGTAGTGTGTAGCGTATAGTGTATAGTGTAGTGTGTAGTGTGTAGTGTATAGTGTAGTGTATAGTGTAGTGTGTAGTGTAGTAGTGTATAGTGTAGTGTATAGT